CTGTAGTGATGTCACACCCAGGACTCTGTAGTGGATGTCACACCCAGGACTCTGTAGTGGATGTCACACCCAGGACTCTGTAGTGGATGTCACACACAGGACTCTGTAGTGGATGTCACACACAGGTCTCTGTAGTGGATGTCACACACAGGACTCTGTAGTGGATGTCATACTCAGAGCTCCATAGTGGTGTCACACACAGGGCTATCTGTAGGGAGTGTCAGTTTCAGGGCTCTGTAGTGAGTGTCACATGGGCTCTTCTCCCTCACTTGCTGGACTGAAGGCCATTTACAACAGAACCTCAGGTGTCTCCTCTGAGGGGAAAAGTTACACAGAGTTCCTGGAGTCTTATGCCTTCTATAATAAATCTGCCAGTCGCGCGGTGGTGGCGCACGCCTTTAATCCCAGCACTTGGGAGGCAGAGCCAGGCGAGTCTTTGTGAGTTCGAGTCCAGCCTGGTCTACAAAGTGAGATCCAGGACAGGCTCCAAAAGCTACACAGAGAAACCCTGTCTCGACAAAAAACAAAAAACAAACAAACAAACAAACAAAAAAAGCATCCACCTTTTTTACTTTTATTTTACCAGTGAAACCCCTTTCAGTATGCCAGACTTTGTGGTATTGACTAAGACGCGGGCATCTTCCACATAATGCTGGCCAACCACGCTGAGCAAGAAAACTCTGATTAGAGCTACTGACTTTGTATAAGTTATCATTTTAGTCCATCAGTAACACTACATTGCTTATGCTAAAATTTCTTCAAAGTGGACACAGATGCCATGGCCCTTTGCCATATTATTAAGGGTCTAGAATGTCCCGCAAGTCCCACACAACTCACCAGCCTGTTGATATGTATAAGAAAAACTAAAGTAGCTTTAAGGAAGAAGTGTATTATCATGGCTGGATAGATGGCTCAGCGATGAAAAGCCTTTGATGCTCTTCCAAAGGACGGTTCCTAGGACCCACATCCAAGACCCCAAACAGCCTGTCACTCCAGCTCCAGCACCAGGGATCTGACACCATCAGGGCCTCCCAGGACACCAGCACACACATGCATGTGAACACACACATGCACACACACACTAAAATAATTTAAAAAAAAAAAAACCCAATAGTGTTTTGTCCTAATGTAGATGACAGGTTAGAATACAGCAG